TTTTTGGCTTTTAATAATGATTTTTTGGACTGAGCTGCAGGCAATGAAAGAGTTCTCTGATGTAGTACCACTACGTCAACAAGCTCCTGTGAAAGGAGGGAGTGTGCAAGTTGTTCGAGCTGTTCTGACAAGTTCAGAAGAAGACAAGAACCTTCTGGAGGTATAATATTAATCACGGTCCTCGGTTATTATTAATGGAGATGCTGACCTATATTGTAACCATTTCATAATGCAGAAAGAAATTGAGAGTAAGGAACAAGAGCAAAGGCTGCAAGTTCTTGGTTTTCGAGAGGTGATAGAATTGATTTCAGCTTCTGAGAAACCTGTTGTTGCGCACAACTCACTTAATGGTCTTTCTCAACTCGATTGTTGTATTTTTAGTTATATTAAAACTCTTGCTGTTAATTTTGTTTTTGTTTCCTCTGAAGAAACACGTGCCTTTGTGTTTGTTACAGATTTTACTTTTATACATTCAAAGTTCCTAGCTCCACTTCCTCCAACTATGGATGAGTTCACCACTACACTGCATTCGGTCTTTCCTTACATTATTGACCTCAACCATCTCATGAAGGAAATTGGGGCGTTTGAGAAAATGAACAACATATCAGGAGCGATTTCTTATTTGGAAAGCAGATTCTCTGCACCAATAACCATGGAGATCTCCAATCGAGGTAAAAGTTAGGATTTGTAAATTCTCATAAGTGCTAGAGAGCAATGTTTATAGCCCAGCTTATGTCATAATCCTTTATCAATTGCTGGATATTTCCGTTAGCATAAGAACCTACATTGCTTTTATTTGCATCGTCACGAATAAATATGCTCATGTGATTCCAAGTGGTAAATCTTATGTGGCGAGCCCCTTTTCTGTAACAGCTTTTACGAGTTGTGAAAATGAAGTCATTGCTTCCAGTGTTAACTGATCATAAATGGTTTCATTTTCAGAGGATGCTGGTGAAGTCGATGTTTATGGTCATATTGTTCTGAAAGTATGCCGTCTGTTTTTGATATTATGCTCCATATTGAAAATCTCTCTGGAGGCTCCTGAAGGCCAAAGTAGACAACTATCTCATTCTCTTCATCGCTACACGGATATGTTATATCCATGCTCGACTAATTCTACAGACCCCGACGCTGACAATGTTAGAATTTCGACTGGAAACAGCCGAATAGTGACCACTGACAATATAGTATTCTTATGGGGATTCAAAGGTGGATTATCTGCCCGAGGTTTAAAGGACCTTCTATGTGACTCACATGATGTCTTCTCTGAACATTTTGATGTCCGGATGATTAGTAGGACCTGTGCAGTAGTCGTATTCTGGACTCCTGGTTTCTCAGAGCGTTTTCTCAGAATAATGGACTCCGGAGATACTTTTTCTGGTAAGTTCAGAGATATGATATCGGTAGGTCTAAGATCTTCGAGCTATGAGATGTATAGAAAGGTGTGCGAGTCGGGTTCATGGAAATCTGATTTAGCCGAGTGCTTAGACCAAGCCATTGATGAAACTGAAAATATTTCAGAAGCCAAATCAGAGGATAAGAAGTCTGTAATCTACTGGAATGAGGATGATACGATCAACTTTGACGACCTTTAAGATATTCATATTTTTTCATTATGGTATCTCCTGCACAAGGCATTGTTAACCTCAAATAGTCAGTTCGAATTCGAAAGCACTGGGTTTGAGATGCCTCGTTATAGGAGTTGATGAATTTGTCGGCCATGAAACTAGAGAACACGCTGTACCATCCGGTATGTCTACTAATTGTATCCTTGTGCTTTAATCCCATGAAAAAAAAAAAAAGAGAAAATACAGTTCTCTTACGAAACTATACATATCCCTTGAAATGTTGCGTAGGTGTCGGTTCGGGGTGCTGTTTGGCTGGTGGGGAGGGCCTAGCAATATGTTTCTTTTTATGTGCTTTTATTTTGTGTTTTGTTTATGTATTATCCCGTTGGGAGTTTGTTTATTCTCACATTGTGGGAGCTTTTTGTATTCTCCGGTTGAGAATCTGTGAGCTTTTTGTTTATTAGGTTGGTTCTAGGCTATCTTGTTGCAGTCCTCCCAAGTAAATTCAACGGAATAATTGATTTAGTCGGTTGTTTAGTTGTTGTCTTCTTTTCCATATTTGTGGATCATCCGTTTGTAGCATTCTACATCTAGTTTAAAAGTTCAATGTGTATTGCATAATTATAATATGTACCTAGGGATGTCATGAGTCGAGCTTAGCTAAAAACGAGGCTTAACGGATCGAATCATAAACTTAAATAAAGTC